CACTTTCGAAGGCCTAAGCTGAATCTCAAACCGTGTTGATCATCATCTGCTCTCCCGTGATTGGTTGACACGACAATAGAATGTTATAACGATATGCTTGATTCTCAAAAACGTCGACCAAGAAAATTAGTACAGTATACGCAAATTCAATCCTGCTTAATATATAATATGCTGTATCAATTTGCGCACATCCTAAAATCTAATACTAAGTCCTTGGTGCGGCGTCTAAGGTTTGGTAGTGTTGGAAATGCAATAAAGTAATCTGTTTGTTCCAGTTTCACTTACAAGGAAGTACCCTATGTCTATCGACATTCATCTCATTACGGTAAAATCGAATCTTAATGATAGGTCATTTCAATAATCACATAGTTATCACATAGCCGGATTTTTTTAAGGTTATTCAAATTATTCTGTACAACATGCAGATCACGGTAAAAATACTCGATTATAAAAATGGCTGCCGTGAATAAGGGCCGTAATATTATGGAAATATCTACCCCCTTATCACGTCAACAATTGACGTCATGTAATTACTTTATTTGATTTATTATAATAATAATTCAACTTCACAAACACCTCTGGTAAAATTGTAGCTGGTCTTCCTTTCATATTAAATTGTCTTCTGTACCATGGAAAATCATTAGATAACCCACTACCACAGGTTTAAAGTACAGTAGTTTACTATAATATCATATCGTGAAGTAAGCGATTAATCTTGGCTTAACCATAATAATAAGACGACAAATAAATATGAGCTATGACAACAAATAATGCGAACTATATTAAGAAAGACGAGTTTGAAATAAACAGAGATAACGTTAAACGCGGACAGTTGTTACGTGATGATTCGTAGATCATTTTGCATTGTTTTTAAGGCGCAACCATGAAGAGCCAGTTGATCATGTGTATAACGATCGTGATATGACGAATAAAGATTGTTTAATCACATGACGCAAGTCCATTAAAGCGAACTATTACTGATTTTCAGACACCCCGGCTCTCTCAATAACTTCGTTTTAGACCGTTTTCACCTCTACTACTGAGTGGTTGCAGCCTCACTCACTGTTGATCCCGTAAAGCATCTGCATGAAATACTGTAAGTATTCACCGGCCACACCTCTTGTCTTTAACAAAAGCTAACTGCTCTTATACTAGTGCAAATGCCAGCCGCTGTGGTTGAAGAAGTGATAGAAGAAACTCATACTAATAACGAGTATCGATTCGACATATTATTAAACACACCGATAATCCAGTTACATTGAATGTTTATACGTATCTAGTGTCAAACTTTATTAAGGCAAGTGATTTGGGTCCTCCTCTTTCGAGTTTGTTGCGTTCAAACATCGTCTGGCTGTTGTGAGCTCAATGAATGGTTGGACTTTTTGGCTCGGATGCGTCGTCAGAGCTTTGTACTCAAAAACTCTTGTCTCACGCAATTTTTATTTATAGGCTAGCAAATCAGTTGTCGAAAAACCGACAAGTGGATTCGGATATTGAAGTCAGGGAATTTTTAGAGACGAAAAGCTGCTCTATTCGATTGTTTCACCGTACCCGGACTGTTTCCAAACCTTGTGTCGTCCTCTTTTTCACCTAATGCAATTCATGCATGCTACAAGACGAACGATTCTGGGTTTAGTTCAGATTTTGTAACCGTTGTCTTTCTACTATGACGCGTGGCGAAATTCGTGCAAAAAAATGAATCGAGGTATGATAAGTTTTATTTTAAAACTGTTTGTCAATATTCCTCTTGCAGGATAGTAATGTCTGGGATGCTTGCACTCATTTCCGGTGTGTATGTTGTGCATTGATCCAGGAACACCATGAATTCGATGATGAGACCTCTCGATAACATATTTCGCGATGGATTAATAAAGACATTCATTAGTGTGCTTATCAGCTTATTTTTAGCAAAATTGTCCATTGGCTGAGCCTGTGATCTATGCTATTTCCAGAACTCAAGTCGAACACAACACAACGCCTGTTATAATTAAAAAAATGAGACCGAACTAGCCTTTTGGATGGGTGTAGCTAAGACCTTTTCAATTATTAATCATTGCCAACGACACGTCCAAAACAAAATTCGTGGATCAATGAACGTTGAATAATACCAAAAAGAATAATAAGTATGGAACAAGCAATTAATATTATTATAACAATTGGAAATGTTGTTTTCATAATAATATCTACCTTTGCAAAAACGCTTTATTACTGGGTAAATAGAACGGCAAAAGAGTGGCTGGAAGTAAATGACTTTGATCGTTCTCATCACCATCAGTAATATTGTAGTTCGCTTCTGCTGCAGTATTATAGTTATCGAAATCTTTCCACTTTATTCCGACAAGAGCAAATGAGCCATACCTCTCAATCAACCTATCTACTTGCCAAATCCATCAGGACGACAAGCTAATGAGAAAAAGCTTATATAATAATATTTGGTTGAACAATAATTCATTGGAAAATCGAATTTGTGTATTCGGTAGTTTATGGCGTCGTTTGCGCGTCAACGCATTTTCCATTATTGGCTTATACGACGTCGAAGGGTTCGTGTTTGTCGGGTAATTCGATTACAATATTCGACTTACATAAATGGTTTGCGAGTTTTAATGGTATAAAACATGCAAAAACATGGTGTCCACATTGCTTAAACAAACACGAAAAGCCATGCCGTGACATTATGACAAATATTCTTGGCCCCCGAAAACACCGGACTAGAACTTGATATTTACTATCAGCAGTATGGATATGCTATAGAAGTACAAGGTAAACACGGGCAGAAGAACACACGAATTAATACAATTACCATGATTAATGCATTCAAAAGCGAAGATTAAACCCTTAGATTTATTTATAAATTTTTATAGTTGAGGAGGTACATGCAAGATTTTCATTCATGAAGTTTTACATTACTAGCAATCCAAAACGGGCCTTAGTGAGCACCTCGCTATGAATAAAAGTTCCTCACGGTCTACATTACTAGCAATCCAAGACTCCAGAATATCTATATCAATGTTACCCATCGCTACACCCACAGTTGACACTTTATCCGCAACCAAATCATAACCATTGACAAGTAAAAATAAGAAATGGAGAAATGACCTGCTCTCTTATTCCGATACAAGTACTTGCCGTAGAGTTTCATGGCACCACGCGCTATAAGTCACGTAGGAGGAGAGGAAGTGATGGAGATGGTGGAAACGGATTTCATAATATCATCCATTTTTGTGTTTAAGTTATCGATTTTATTTGATATATTTTCTTGTGCCGAGGATGGTGGAGAGGGGATGGAAGATGGAGTGGGAGCTGAAACGGGAGAAGAAACGGAAGAAGAGACGACCGGTTTCTTGAGCCAGTCGCCCCTGTTGCCACCGCAGATAATGGCGTGTACTTGGACCCTATGCGGGAAGTGCATGTCGTAGTCGCAGTAGTTGGCGTAGTCGGAGTATGCTTTTTCATAAAAAAACATGAACTTCGGCCTATGAAAGGCGGATTCTATAAGCCAATGCTATAATATGCTGTTGTTGACCACATGACGTATCGGAATTCTCTAACGCAGCCACGGTAATATTGATCTACTGGTTAATCCTTTGAAATACTCTCTTGTACATTCGTCCTCTAAAGTCTTTTTCCTCAATTCACATGCCAATAATTTTGCCCAGAGCCGATAACGAATATTAATGATTTCTGCATTGCTGCGAAATGAAAGTCGAAACCACCCAACTTTATCCACTTTGGTTGTGGAGACCATTATTGTCATTGGATGCACCGGTCTCGTAAACTCAAATAAAGATCCCAATTTTTGCGGACGACATATTTGAGCGCTTCTTTTTGCAAATCTTTTGGAGCCGTGCGGGCTAGAGTAAGTATTTGCATGGATATGAGTAAAACAAAGCATACGAGCATAAAATAAATGAGATTAAGTTTTTGTGCATTAATGATAGTTCGCTCCACTTTTTTCCTGAAAAAGGCGAAACTCGGGAGGCAATGGATAGTTGGAACGACCAGACAAGCCGGGAGAAAATAAAGTTGAAAGACGCGTTGTAAAAAAGTTTTTTCAGGCTAATTTAAGAATGATTGTCACACAAGGTGTTCAGATGACTGGGCAACTCATTGATGATCATGTGATCACTCAATCCGTTTTTAATAATGAATCTTGTAAAATAAGATTCGATTTGTAAGTTCTTTGAGACTGAGCAGGTTCAGATATTTGGCAATAGCTTGGTGTACCCACAGTTCCATAGCTTTGTTCAATTTAGGGTACTTAGCAGAATGTGTGCTAGGATTCTGTTTTGTTGAAAGTATATTAATATTAACCCATTTTTCTTTTTTGGATAAAATTTTGGTTACATATACAGTTGAGCGATTCATGTTAAATTATATTTATTATCAAAGTGTTTGGCAATGTCTGCATGGTTCAAGGTAGAGTTTTGTTTCGCGTATTTGCAAATTTTGCGTTTATTGTCAATACTCAATTAAACTCTTTTTTTTTTTGGTTAATGTTATAAAGATATTGTGTAAAGATTAAATGGGATGTGTTTATTATTACCTTAACGCTTACATTTAGAAGTACGTTATATGATGTAACATTTATCCAATACTATCGTACTGTGTAAATGTGTGGTGGCTTGTTTATCGCTGACATAATAAGCCGTAAATGCATTTACTATTATATGATAAATTGATTTAACCCATGATGTCACATGATAATTGTGACTGTGTATTTCTTTGGATAAATTGGTACTGTTGAGCCAGTAATGTTTAATTGTTTGTCTTTAGGCTTCGAGCTTCGCGTTAACCATTTTTACGAAAGCATAAACAAAAAAAAGTGGTTGTAAACAAAAGTTGTGCTTATGAAAACATGTTAACTGGAGATGGAATTGATTGTATTTGTAGTACAATTATTATTAATAACGCGTATGTATTACCAAAAAAAACGAATCTTTTATTGACCACCATTTTTTTTAACACACTGTAACTGATAACCATTTTATTCTATTCAGAATATCGATAACAAGCGAAACCAGATTCTAATGTGCTAACGTAGATAGTTTTAGGCGAATAAAAACTTATGGTGTAGACAATGTATATTATTACAATCAATAAAGCAAAGCATGTTAATGCGATATTTTTTGTGCGGTTAACTTTTTGAATATATCCTATTTCATAATAAACAATGTCGAACAATCAATTAACAATCAACACCTTGAGGGAATTTAAACTCTAGGCTTGCATCCGAGATTACTAAACTTAGAAAAAAAAGAGCCAAAATGAAAAGAAATTTGCTAAAGTTGAGGCTAAAAAAGCTGAGCTTGAGACCAAGAATACCGAGTTTTAAAACAGATCATGAAAGAGAACCGCGGGACGCCATTCTGTCAGCGAGACGCTTTTCTTTCTTCTCGCCATAATTCGCACAATAACTGAACTTACGAATTTTCTGACAATATTTCGCATTTAGAACATAAAAATGTTCTTATTCTCAGCGGCTCATGCCACACATTTCAAAATTGCATAATAATAGTTTAGATTTGCTCTTAAAATAACTTTGCAAAAACAAGGATATGATGCCAGAAGTCATAACTCGACAATAAAATAGCATGACTAGAAAATTTTCAACTCTCCAAAAATTAAAACCGACCGATAGTTCTATCCTCCGTGACAAAGTTAACGGTTTGATTTTTCGTTATGAAGAACTATGCTTGTTATACGATAAGTAACGCGAAAATCGTTCACGTGATACATATTTCATTGATGAAATTATTCGCTCGGGCCACACGTTTTTATGAATCGGTTTCTTTGCGATTTGCAACAGTTGACGTCTTTCATTCAAATTCTCCGATTATTAAACCTAGTAACAAAACTTTACTGCTTGCCTATTATTAATTAATAAAACAAAAAGACAACAACAAGTGAATAGTTTACTTGGAGAAAAAATCGCATATTACAAGAACTAAATGGTGGACCGTAGGAATGGCTGTTACTAAGTATTAGAACATGAAACGTAATAAGTTGAATTTAAATTATAAATTATTAAAATCTCGTTGCCAAAAAATTGAAACAATTATGACTTTCGACATTGTAACGAGCTTTGTTTTTACTTATCCACAGATATTTTGCCTTTTGTTTTGATGGTACATTTTTATTTTTCGTTTTTTCGTGTAAACTTTATAATAATAAGTAATTTTTTCTTTGTCGAGATATTACTAAAGAGTTTGAGCATTACTGTATTAGTATAGAACCGTAAGGAGCAATTTTTTCTCTTGTTCCCTTTAAAATACTTCTAATAATGCTATCAGTCTTTGGCTCATAATGGCTCTGATGTAAATTGGTTTTATACATAAATAGAGGCAATTTATAATATATTATTATTATTATTACAATGATAACTGTTCAAGTAAAATTTTTATCTCAACCAATTTACAAAATAATACAATTTAAAATGCAACTATCTATGAATTCAGACATGGGCCACAGCTGTGCCACTAAGACTTAAAAAACTAATGTTCAAAATGTGTTTATAATTATTTGCGTAAAAGCGATTGACCTAGACAGGCCCGAGGATGACTCGGCTAAGGTTAACACATCACTATTTACAGAAAACGCAAGGAGGAAAGTGTCGGTTCATACTTCTGCCTAAAATTATCACTACAAATGTAATTTCACAATCTCTTACAATCAGCAGATGTTGATCAAGACTTTATGTCTGTTCATAACTCGGCAATTGTTTTGGCATTAATCGTTCAATAACTAATCCAAGCAATCAAAGATAAATCCCGCGAACTTTCTAATATCTCATTTGGCCAATACAATGGTTCTAAAATAAGTTGGTCAAGTGACACAATAAACAATCTTTTTGCCGATCAGAATTGTCCCACAGCATAAAACGCCACTACGATCATACAATACTTTTACATATTTCTTCCAAAGAGCAGATGGGTAATCCGTCCGATAACTCTAGCGCACGCCCGATCGATTTGCAGCAGGTTAGAGATAAACTTGTTGCAGCATCGTCTGATCTGTATTATGTCTCTGAGGGGGATGAACCACTTGAATTTGTGTTCTTTGAGAACAAGGAACTCGAACGCCTACCCGAGTCAGCGCAGCTATTCGCTGAATCAACAACGAACCTCGATTCTTCACATGCTCGGGAAGAAATGGAAACGGAATGCGTAGACAAGAAACAATTTTTTGGCCCTTTAACGATATCTGACCACGATCCATATGGACAACAAGAGAAATATCGGAAATTGGAACAAACTATGGAAGAGTTGTTTGGCAGTGATAATGTGCTAGTGTATAAAGTGAAAGGGAGACTTTATAGTACAACAGAAATTTACATTGTGGGATTGATACGTGGACTGGGTATTGCTGGTATACGGACTCGGAGTATTGAAACTTGAATGATTTGACTTTGTCAATACTTGGTTTTTTTGTCACAATTTATAGTTGAGATATTGCTTTATGTCAATATAATATATGAGTTTTTATTCGATTATGGCATTTACAATGCGAAAAAGTAAGGAGAGATGATAGGAAAAGAATTTTTTTAGATTGCTACTCTATTAGTAATCAATCGTTCTATGTAACATTTTCGAATATTAAAACTGTTATTTTCTAATCAGTGAGTCTAATAGGAATAATATGAATATACAAAAAAAAAATGATAATAATAGTATATGATAATCAAATATAGATATTAAAACATTATTCCTCGTCATCTGATTTGTTCTGTGCTGCTAGCTCGCTCAAGTCTTGTAGATCCTCTCGTAACTCTTCACTAGCATCGGGTGGAATCATAATCATCATTCGTACATTTGAGTGTTTCACAACAAAACGGCGAAGGAAACCAAAGAAAGCCTGTGACATTTCTTTGACACCTGTACAGTCGAGGATTATTTTTCTTGCTCTTTCAACGGCTGCTTCTAGATCATGGATGATTTCTTCACTTAATTCACGAGTGCGAAGGTTCTGGCCATATAGATTGAGATGTATTGAGGCGACGAGAAATCGGTCGTTGTTGAGGTCATCTGGATTGGCAAATAATTTCATGGCTCGTCGATAGTTGAATTCTTGGTCCAAGTTGATCGCACCATGTACCATAGTGCCTTTCCATTTAGCAATACCCCTGACGCGCACAACAGTGGTATCTACAGTGGTACAAAAACACAAAAGAGATATTAATATGGCACATGTCAGGGGTGTGATAATGGAGATAAAGAATAAAGCAAACTAGCCTATTTAGTCATAATGTATAGTTATTGCATTTTTTTTTGTGCATTGCTGCGCTGCTCACCTCTTTGTTCGTATTCCTGTAAACCAGAGAGTATTTGGACGTAGCCTCTGTTCATTTGAGATAATTCGCTTGTGATAAATAGACCAACACCTTGATGTCCTCTCTCGATACCCTTGGATGTAGCATGAGGACGTGTCAAATAGAGAGCACAAGCACGACGAGCGGCGGCTTTAGCGTCTTCTACAATTCCTTGTTGGAGCGACCCGTGTAGACCAACACCGCTGTCGGCAACACAATAACAGAGCTAATCGACCATGGGAAAAAAAAGGGGGGAGGGGGAGAGACGGGGGCGTGGGCGGGAGAGAGAAAAAAGGGAATGAAAAGCGTTAGTATCAGTCGATCATCGATATGCCATTCGTTTGAAATTTACGGATTAATGCAGGTCGAACATACAATACTGAATTATTCACATGCAATGGCAGTTGAACAAGACCCTTAAGAAATTAATTATTACCTTCTTTTTGTAAAAATGTAATCCAACAGTGAAACAGAACCTATCTTCTGGAAGTTCCGCATGAGCGGATACATTCTCCACAAGTTCGTTCAACATCAAGTGAAATCGAGATGGCAAATCATCGTGCCAATTTTTGATTGCATCATACCATTCGTCTCTGCGAACATCATCGTTATTCTTAAAGACCGTGAGACGACAGTCGTTGCTCACAATTTCGAGGGCAATTGGATTATCGTTGGGAGCGTAGAGTATGTCGCGGATGGATTTATTAGTCCATGCAAATGGTAATTTCATGCGAGGAAAGTCTATTCGGATATCGTATACAACTTTTGAGAGAATAAGATCGCATGAAAACTGAATGATTGCAGAGACTGTTGCAATTTCTATCCTGGCCTTGGGAGCGGTGGTCACTGAGATTTCGACAATGTCATTCTTATCGAATTCTTCTTCGCGTGGAAGTTGGCCGACACAATTTGTTACTTGGTTTACTGTTTCTAATAAGATGGGGACGGTTTTTGTTGCTGGTGCTGGTGCCATTGTTGGGAGATGCTAATTGTTGAAGTGTTTTTTTTCCTTCTGTTGGGATTATATATAATTCTTGAGTTGGTGGTGACCGAGTTCGTCTTATTATATGAAAATCCTTCAAAAATCGACTTCTTTTCTCAGTCTTTTTGTGGGGTAAGTGACTTTGGTCGTGAGATTTTTCAGGCCTTAAGGTTGGGGTATTTATGTGATGATGGAAAGGAGATGAATTTGTTACAAAAATACATTATTACGCCACTGTACAACTGGAGGCTTAGTAGTGTAAGTTTTAGGATGCTGCAAGATAAGTGTATTTACGAAACACAAGCGGAGACGAAAAAAAGCATTCTAATAATGGCAAACTATGGACATGCGTAGAACATTGTTCTCTGTACATACGAATGAATGTGCTATTGTATAAACTATATGCAAGATGAGAAAGCGAGAAAATATTTAAGAGTATATGATAGTACATATAATAGTTTATAATAGTATATATTCAGAAACAGCGTATGGTTAATAAGCAGTACATCGTAGGGGAGATTGCGTTATCAGATATTATTATGGTTACTACATTCAATGTATTCATTGTTTATCGCGTATTTATCTACGGGGATGATAAACTATGCCCGTTTTGGTTGCTTCGGTCAATTAATTCATATGCCTTAATTGCTGAAGCACTACTAACATTGCACCGAGCACATGCAACCAATGATCACAAACGAGAAGAGGCCAAGTTGTTGCAAACGTATAGTATCAACGATAATAGTGACAGTAGTAATACCAGTATAGCAATAACAATATTGATAGGATTTTATAATACAAAATATATACTATGTTGTAATATTGTTTTATCAAAGGGTTCGTTCCCTGACAGTTTTATCCCACGCAAATCATAACTATACATATGATCTCATATGAATGTCTCCCCTTATCCCAATTGGTATGACATCATACACTTGACTTCAAGTTAGGAACAAAAAAAAGAGACAAGTATGAGACATGAAACTTTTGAAAAGAGAAGTAAAATCAAGTGATTTAGGTGGCGTTATAAATGAAAGAAGAGGCGTTTGTTCTTACTGTACTACCACCTCAGCGTTGCCCAATGTTCCGACACAATTGTGTTGCTTGCGGAACTGAAATCCGTTCACATTCTTATGCATAGACGCATACTGCTAACCCAAATTGCCTACTGCGTACTAACCAAGCAATACAAAATCGACATTACAATAGCGAACATCATTCTTTTCCGAATATATGGTCGATCTGGATTACTGCTACAGGTTGTACTGTTTAGGCATCGCATTTACGTATGCCTAGCACATCATCAGGCATGCACGTAAACAACAAACCAGTTATGCATTGCATAAGTTTTTAACAACGAAATTTGTAATTGAACTAACTGAAAACGAAAAAAATGAAGCACCGTCATAGAGACAAGCAGGTTTAATTGAGAGGGAAACTGCCGTCCAAGAGACGTATATACAAATTACGACTACATACTAATGCGTCTGTCTACGTATTGGAGAGGGTCCCCCGCACGCCCACGCATTTTTTCAGACTAAAAAAATACAAGATTAAGATAAAGACCTACACCCATTGTTTTTCCTGTTCCCACACTCTTCCTCTGACCCAATCATCTTTTTCCCCTTGCACCCGTCTATTCCCTCCGACTGTATGCCCACGTCTTGTATGCCCTGACTGTCTCCACACCCGCCAAGTACACTAAATGCAACACAACAAATACGTCAGCATCTAATGACAATTGTATACGTACAATAATATAACATATTTATACATATACCTGCATACATACGTATACACACATATATATACATACGTAAATGTGTATCCATATATGTATGGGTAATTTAAAATATTCTCTTGATGGCTCATACCTTGTCTTTCCGTCTCGTCCATCTTCGAAACAAAGACCGTCTCCTTACCTGCCGCTCCATACTCCAAGTGATCAAGTGTGGCACGCGTACGTTGTACGTAACTCTACAAGTTATAGAGGACAGATAAGTATAATGACGTAAGCCTATCACGTTCATCACTGCTTTGCTAATTTTACTCACTAACTGCATTGGTTATAATCAATTCACCAGATAAAATGTGTATTATCATGTGATACTGACCTTATCAAGAACCTCAGCCAGTTCAGGGTCCTCTACACTAGAATCATTATCAATTAAAGGAAAGGAATTGACACATGAAATATGCAAACGATACGTACGCTTCAAGGAATTTGCCACCAAATGCAAAGAATCGTGGATCTTGTTCAACTAAATTCACGTGAACCGGGTCTGCCTTCAATGCATTGCGCACCGGTCGGCCAAATATCTTTGGCATCTGCAACTCTCCAAGTCCTCTACAAAAGGGCATATTAAAAGGAACTGTTATATGTCTACTAGTTTGATATCTGCAAGTAGAAAATTAACCTTTTTCACGCCATGAATAGATAAAGCAATCTTGCGCGCTTATATTTATACAGACTAGACGATCGGCTGCTTACTTTTGGACAAATTTGATTGCAACCCAGTAAGGTATTTCTTGTATTGATTCACTCGTGACGTCATCGTCATCGTTATCGTGATCATCCGCAAATTGTCTCCTGCTTCTGCTACGCGTACGTCTCTCCACTCGTTCTTCGCTTTCATTATTATTCCCCATCTCCCCAACCTGCAAACAATGAGATGTCAACGACGTGCTTATGGCAGATAACCTCATTACATACGTACTTGTTCGCTGACGCCCATATTAATCAGCGCTTGTGAATCAAATGGAAGTCCCTTTACTCCAATGGCCTATCAAAAATAAACACTTATTCTATACTGTAGATAAAACCTTAATAAATGAAAAAAACAACCAAACTAACTGCTTCTTCAGCCAGAAAATCGTCAGGATCCATAAAATCTTCAGCCGATTGCATGTGTGCGAATAAGGATCAGGTCGAGGATGAGCAAAGGAGTGGGGAAGATAAAAGCTCTTATCAAAAACGCGGGTCTATTTCCTAATATAGACATCATTGAAAAGTTGATATTCATTGAAAATTGACAACATTTTAATATAAATTCCGTGCATATACAACTCATTTCAGTATACCATTCTATGGTAATCTAGTTAATGAAACAAGATCTAATAGGGCTAGCAGATTCTCTCATCACTTGCTATGTTTTACGTATTCACAGTAGACCCCCCAATCCCGCAAGTTTCATGTATTCATTGATATAGTCAACACACTCGCGAGGCTCTTTTTCCGTTATCAATCTGAATATCTACATATACCAGATATTTTAATTAATATTTCGAAAACGGTTTTACTTCATGTCGTCAACTGATATCTTACCGTCCCAGAATATCGCTGGTTTGCCTCTACAAGTGACTGCGCCAAGAATACTCGCGGATCGATAACGTTCTCCACTGGGTCGTCATTCACGCGAGATGTTGAATTCAGCTTGGCAAACTGTGCCTTAAACTCCCGATCTTCGACAAGGTCAAATTCGTATAGACTATCCTCAGCATCCGCATGCGTCTCAATCTCTGTTGGTGCCTCAAAGAATCGAACGAGCATGCCGAGAAGAATAGGCCTGCCAAACAGTATATTAGCATCATTCACATGAAACAGTATTTAATTCACTATATTAACTAAACCGTGTAGCTGTATTCCTCTTTCTTACCAGACTTCAGCATATTCGCTGCCCATGACTTTTTCAGACTTGGTCAAAAGACGCGTCATTCCCACGGCACAAATTTTGCGTTCGATTCTTCCTTGGACCTTTTGCAAATTCTGCATAATGGGCCCGTTGAGGAGTCCCATGAATAAACTACAAAGTCAGTGCAGTCGCATCAGCGTGAATTCAAACATTATCATTCTGAATTGAAATCATGCAATTAGAGTACCTTGGCTGGATGCTGTCAATGACTTGGATTATATAATCTGGTCCAGCTCCCTCCTTATCGATTGCAAAAGAGCAAAATATAAACTTATCAAATGCAATTAGGAACTTGTCCTGCTTTGCGTTTTGTAATTTTTTTAATATAAGAATAAATATGGGCCCAATATAGTGATTCAAAGTCACCCTGTTATGAGAATAAATAGATTAAAAAAAAAAAGATATAAATCCAACATACATTAGCAATTATATCATTGAATGCTTACGTGGGCACATATCGAATGACTGAAGAGACAAGCTCAAGTCCAAGCTGATCGTTCAACCTGGAAGCAAGAAGTTTTTGGAAGATACCAAGGATCGCTTCAAGCTGATTGTTGACGATGATACTTGTTGTTGATCTGTGAAGATAGGCTTGGAGTAGACGTACCAGCGCAGGTACGTTGCCTAGATTGATGATAAATGTTAATTATAAGCAAGAACAAATTTGGACCTCAATGATTGATTGATCGTTAATACATACCTTGAGTTTCCCACAAGTTGGATTTTAGCAATACCGGCAAGATGGCTTGATACATCTCCGGCAATTCTTGTACAGTATGACATTCAAGTAATAAGGATAGCACTTGAAAAACATAAGGCACAAACTCTACAAAAATATTAGATTGATTACAAGGTTAATACTCACAAAACACTATCGATTCTGTATGAATATCATCGTCATACCAGTTACATCTTGCTGTAAAATAGTTTGAAATGAGGGGAAAAGTACGCCCTCTATATGACTTAACATCTCTTGTGAGTTGACGCAACAGAACCTGATAGCAGGAAGAAAGGAAGGGGAGGAAGGAAGCCAATATTAAAGAAGGGTATGGCAATATGCTGAATATAACAAATAATCGATGAATATCTAACCTCACCAAAGCGCCAATAGCCTCGAATGTATAATGATTAAATTGGGGGTTACTCGGATTCTTGCTTATCACAATTAATATTTTGTTCAAATGATCAATTATATCTCCCACATACGGAGATATTTCTTCACGACTAGTAAACGGCACCCGCATCACCGCTAAAGAAATATAGCAATTTAGCACGAGTTGACAACCTTGATTATTATAACGCACTTAGCAGTACCTTTCATTAAGTAGTCATTCTCTGCCAGTGTCGCCGGGGTAGTCGCAGATTCGATCAATCCAAATAGTATAATCAAAAGATCATGCGTGTATGGTCGAATGTCATTCTGATTGAATCTACATGATCAATTATATAAAATTAATGCACCGAGTTTTTGGCACTACATTTGCATACTCAAATAACTTACACCAAAACATTGTCTCGTCTCATGAACAAAATTCTTTCTATAGTGATTGCAGCATAAGTATATACAACGTAACTAGAAGATCGCAGATGTTGCATCAGATAAGGAAAGGCCTCGAGAAGTTTCTCCTTGGACATCTAGAAATATAAGACTATTAATATGTGTTGATCGAAAAAAAAAAAGCAACTGAAACTGCATTCACCTGATTACGAAAGGTGTATAGATATTTTAAGGCATCAACTTTTAGAATAGCGGAACCGCTGTCAATTGGAGTTTTAAGATCGGGTAATATATGTTGGTCATACCAGTCAACAACGTTTACAAATGAGTTTACGACTGTAACGCCATGCTATTAGATTTGGCAAATAAATTATAAGTGTGCTTCCATATAAAACACGTTATCACAATACAAAACATCAGCATCGAATTGTAAAAGTACCGAAAACCAATACTAAAATCAGGCCTTACTTTCGTCACAGATCCCTGCGCAGCAATAGACGTCAATAGATATATTGCTGTATCCTTTTCTTTCCAATTGACTGCCGGATTTTGATTGTAAGTCTATGAAGACAAACAAGCATGGGTTCAGTAAAGCGAAAAGAAAAGCACCAAATAAGCATTATTACATCTACGAACATTAAGGTACTGTTCCACATAGGTCTTGATGATCTGAGTAATCTGTTCCACATAAAGTACCATTAAGCCTCGGACAAAATCAGTTGCCGCTCGTCGACGAGTTTCACTGTCTATGGGGATTGTGCATCTGGTAAACAACTCGGTAAATACACAAGTATCACGTAATCTTTATGTTATAACCTGATCCCTCAATGTCTCTTCGAATGTATTCAATTGGATCCATTTCAAACAACTCTTCATCGACGCCTAAAAACACAATTCATTTAAAAGAGTTGCAATAGAAAACGTAACTCAAAGTGTTAACACATACATCATCAGGTCATAAAAAAATGGGCTTTTAAAAGTTGCTACTACATACTCCTTAAGGTCATATTTGGAAGCACTATGGCTTCACAGAACTGCCGCAGCGTTTCTGGTTGATTGAAAAGCGATCGGTATCGCTCCAACTTGACAACCGTAGTCAAAAAGACCATGGCTTGGCTGACAAGCTGAGAGGAGAAAAATAAATAGTTAATCATCATGCTCTAGTCAACGCATTCTTTTTAAACATAAACTTTCAATGACCCACAATATCATATTTGGGCGATATTCCGGTAGTCGTCAGCAATGTCCATATCGTTTCTACAAACGTTGGAAGCATTGTGAAAACATCTTCGAATTTTGCTGTATATAAGGCAACGATCTCACATATGGATGCTTTTATTTTCTCCAGAGGACCGGCCTCGTCATCATCCTGAAAAATAAAAAGCCGATTCAGTTCAATTTATCATAGAATTTTCATCCTTTGAACGACCTGCAGCAGTATTTACTCACATCATTTGCGAATAAAGGGTTTGTGTACGTCAGATACTTGTGAAGTAAATTCATACAATCCGCCATGTTGTCCTCAAAGAAAGGCGGCAGATCTTGGTAATTGAGATCATAAAATAATTTCATTTCAAATAGCAAGCTTTGCAATAACACTGTAAGCACTGGTTTGTTGTTGGCATTTGCTTCAATTAGAGAATCTGTCGCCTATGCAAACGTTAGTGCATTACGAAAGGTCACGAGTAAGAATTTTTCAATACCAGCGAACGATGGTTTCGTGTCAAATTGTAAGTGCATACCTTTAGTAATTCATAATAAGGTTGACAGAATTGACCAAGTACAAAATTAATGCTTGAATATAGCGAGTCTGAACGAAATTCATGACGCCATCTACAAACGCAAGAACAATTGAGCTATCCGTTATTCTTCTCGCATAATTCAAACTCAGCTCGGCTTTACCTTTTGAATATAGCATGTGCAGTATCTAAAATCGCGTTATTTTGTGTAAAATCTTTGACAGTCAATTTCGCCACAAGTTGCTGTTACAATAACAATGATAAGAAGATGGATTAATTAAATCATAGGGAGTTGGGGCGCGCGTATCTCGGTTATCAATGACGTTTGTTGGTGAATATATTGGTTACCTGAATGAGAGTTTCCCATTTCTCTGGGAAATCACTCTCGCTGATCAGAGATACAGCATCGCTAAGGGGCGGTCTTATCCTGTCGGGTACAGCAACCAAAATATCGATAATCTCCGTTTTGATTGCCATTCGAATATCATCGGGAAGTAGATCGCTCTCCTGCAAATTGAATACCAAATGTTAATCTCATCGAATCCGTTCTGTTCACTACATCATTATTAATTATAGTCACCTCGAGCCAATTTCTCTTGATATAGTTTTTGAAAAAAAGAGCCGCTGCAAAGCGGATCTCCAAACCAATGTTTTCATTTGCGACTAATTTCAGTAGTGCTATTGAAAAATTCGGCTGTTGTTTCTCCGCTGAGAATAACTGATCCTCAGCTATATAAGAAAATTATCATGCGCGGTTATCTACCAAATACTCTAGTACGGATTTTTCCTCCAGGAATAATAACAACGCGTACCTTCCTTTCGGAGTTTCTGGTCAGGTGATAGTGTGCCATTCAATATGGTCGCAAAATACTGTTCGCCTTGTCCTTGTGCGGCCATTTGTAGTCGTAAGTTACAGGTTTAAAACCTTCAATTATGAAAATTACTACTAAACATGTACTGCGGAAAAATGTGATTATCAGTAACCGCTAATTGGCTGCTGGTATCTGCGTTAAGCTTGCACAACATTCCCAACATAATATTGCAAGTCATAAAAATGAGGCACTTTTTTGCAGACAGTTTATTGTACGATTATACATCACTTTTTACATTCGCACGTCTTCCTACTAGAGGAAGAAACGTTTAAACAGTAATTGTACGAAAAACATAGTTGCATCTTTCCCCAAATAACAAACCAAATCATTATATTATTGTGTAAGTAATTAGTATTAAAATAACAAATCTTTACAAGGAGTCAACCCATTCACCAACTACAACCATAGACTGTGTGTCGCCAGCCATTAATCTCTCATCTCCCAATGCTTCACCCACGCATACCCATGGGTCTCTACTTCCGCCCCATTTCAATATTTCCTCCTTGAATTTCATCCCTGCTTCTCTACTCAAAGGATTATCCTGAAATAATACTTTCCATATTTTACCGGCAAGCACCCTTCCAAACAGGTAGCTATAATATCCGGCACCATAGCCAAATAAATGTCCAAACTGTATTTGCCATGCTGTCCCTTGCGTCGAAGGAAACGGTCCGATTGTATCTTGCAGTTTAGCTAAAGTAGTTGTAGTATCAAAAGACGTGGAAGCAAGGAGAGGCGAATGATAGATTTGATCGAGAAGAGCCATAAGAATTTGAGATTGTGTTTCTATAGCGGAAAAAGTAGATCTGGCCGTTGCGTGAGACTGAATTAGGTCAATAGGAAGGTCTTCACGCGTTTCGTAGTGTTTAGCAAACAGTTTGAGCACCTCGGGCGAATACACAAAATGTTCCATAAGAATCGAAGGTATTTCAACAAAATCAGTGGAGCATCGAGTACCTGTATGAAATAATGACAATTTAATAGACATCGAAAAACAATAATAATTAGATATCTATAAGATTTACCTGAAACACTGTGAAAATCTGTCCTTCCAATCATTGAATGCATCGCATGACCCATCTCATGAAACAATGTCTCTACTTCAATCAAGTTAAGTAATGCCGGCCCATCTTTATTACCCGTCCTTGAGAAATCGCACATTAAAGCTATTATTGGTATTTGGTACTTTCCGGGCTTTCCGTGAATAATGACACCTTTATCCCCTTCCGCCAACTCGCCAACTTCGTTACGATCGGCTCCGGAAGGTATGTCCCCCTCAACATCGTCGTCGTCAACACGCCGTGAGCAACGCACCGTATAGTGGGCCGCATTGGGAATTTTGCCCTGTCGACTAAACAGGTCACAATAGATAACACCAATTTTGCCCTCTTTTTCATCAATGACATCAAGCTTGCGAACGTCCTCATGCCACACTTCGCCAGGTAAAATTTCTGCCGGCTGAAAAGAAATTCCAAACAAGTGCGAAAACAGTCGGGAGAGACCCTGAATCACAGAACCAACAGAGAAATAGGGGGATATCGGTGTCGATCGTTGGTTGGATGAGATGGAGACGACGGAATCAATATAAAAATCACGATCCCATGCATTGACAGTTGGTAGGGTGGAGTCGTTGCTTCCGATATGCCTTCGTTTGGCTTCCTGGAGAAGTTTCAGATCTGCAAGAGCTTTCGGTTTGTGTTGATCAGCGAGCGTGTGAAGAAATGTTTGTACGTGTTCTTTATTCAAGTATGGTATATCGATGAATACACGTCAGTAACAAGAATATACACTATAACTCGAATAACACAAATACCATTGAAAATACCTGGAGCCCTTGCCATCTTGTCCACGAGAAACATATGACCATAACTATCCATCCCGACTAAATTTGCTAATTCCGCTCTAGTTCTCAAGAGATCCTCCAATACTTCAACCTGTTCTCGTTTCGCCGAGTTGACGGCCAAGTACATCTGTTTCCTCACCTCTTCATTCCTACAATACTTCATCACCATCTGCGCCTCCCATTGATTAGTCGATATAACGGCCACTTGTTCACCCTCTCTAGTAACGTCCTTTACATACCCAGGATTCAATCCTTCCAAGCTAGATGCAGGTGACACTTCAATCTGCTTAACAGCTCTAACAGGAGGTGTCTGTGTAAACTGTCGACCGAGCGCTATTATTTTATCAGATAATTTAACAAACCGTTGTCGATCGTTCTCTGGCAAATGAATGCCTGATTTCTCAAAATCGCGAAGAAAAATAGTAGCGACTTGGAGTTCTTGTGGTGAAAAATCATGTGCTATTGAGGGCGTTGAGAGAACGCGTTTAAGAGCCTGCAACACGGGAACGGAAAATAATACCGTTTAGATGTCAATTTTGTAAGCTTTAACTAGTCGAGTTTCGAATTAGAGAACAAATGAAATTGGCGTTACCTTGTATAAATCAGTGTTGGTATTGAGAGTGTTCATGTACGAGTATAGGTACTCATAAGCCCAAGTGGCGGCTCTGACATAGCTCTGATCTGGGTGCGCTGTTCTTACGAATTCAGCAAGATCGATGACAGAACAAAGTATATCACTAGCACGATCTAGATTCTTTACGACCTTTCTCAACTCGTCTTTAGTTTCGGCAGTAGTTATTCTCTGGACGAGCAGCTCCGCTCTGCGCAATGCCTTCTGAGCGGCTACTTCGAAACCAGTAGGAGTTACAAGATCCTGATTCCGAAATAGTCCAGAAGAAGTTCGCGAGTCAAAAAAGGACTTGTGTCTTGAAAACTTTTCCCAAGCCCTTTGATCGTCAAACATGACTCTTAGAACATCGTCGTTTGCAGGCGTGTGGCATTTGTCGTTCGAAGTCTGTACGTTTGCACGGCACAAATTGGGAATGCGTTTTGTATGTTGCGGATCCGTAGTTGTTTCTGTACAAAGGAGTCGCTTTATAGACAAGGGAATGTAAAGCTTGTCCGTATGGAAGATAGCGTAATGTTTGTAAAGACGACTGTTTCGAAGGAGACAAATCGCTGCATGTCGAAGTCTATTCAGATTCATTCTTTACGGCCGGTATTTTAAATGCGTTGTAACAAAACCAGGAAAAGTGCCACAGTTAGATTTCAGGGGTTGAAAGGTTAGACGCCACATTATTTACTTTGTTTTATTTTATAATAATAACAATAAGAATGAGAAAATTTGTCTTACGAACGATATCAAGTTACTTAGAAAACCGGATCGTAACATTTTGATCTGTATGAAGCCAACTAGTAGCGAAAATAATAGAAAAGCTGAATTTAAATCTCGAGCCCGAACCCCCAAAAACAGGGGTTTCTTTCCTCATTGCTCACACGCCCGTAATATCTCGATAGAATAGATTCCTTACTAGTGATCGTACAGTGTTCGGTTGAATTGTAGTGTGGAGATCTGTTAATTAACCCAAATTCCTACTAAACGACTATTATTATCGTAATACGTTCGTCTCTATGTAAGCATTTTGTCACGTGAGTTCAGTTGTGTATCTTGTGATTATCAACTTACAAGTTCAATCTTTAGATTAAAGGGTTAGTATTAGTTTTTATGATCATATGACAGGTATATTGTTCATATTCGGTGATTCAGTTTCAAGTGTCTTGTGATTCCGCGCTTATACTTAATCACTCATTCACTTTATTTTTGCTCTTAACCTGTTACTGTTTAGAATTAGTATTAGGTAGGTTATTAATATTAAAATTAAATTAATTATTTTTGCATCTGCAACAAAACCAGACAAGGGAACATTCTATTAAGTGACATAATGAGAGGCTGATGTGGCTGAAAATTATTTAATTGTTCTACTAAAATTCTAATTATCATACTTATTATTATAGGGCATGCTTTTGTTAGTTAGGAGTTTTGTTTCTTTGGTAAAGTTGGCAGTTCTTGAAGTTGCTTGTTTGTTAAATAATTCTGCCATACCACAACATTTTTTAGTATCTCTATTTTTCTCGAAGCATTTTCTAAGTTGTCATCTCTTTTTTTTGTTTTGCCTTACTCTCCATTTTCTAGCTACTTCGAGAGCATCTAAATGGCATTTAGAAATGTTTTTCTCTAATTCTAATGCTTCTTCCAAGGTTTTTTGTTCTGCTTCTATTTGCTTAGTTTTTTCAAGCAATTTATTCATTTCTTTCTCTAAATTAGTTGTTAAGGATTGTAACTTTTAACTTCTTTATCAGCTTTTACTCAGCAAGACATTGCATTATGGTGCATGTAAATAAGACGAACAAACTTTTTCTAAATTCTTTGTCTTCTAAGTGTTTTAATCATAATGGTGAAGTCAAAGTAATCTATAATAATAACTCTCTTAGCTCTGTATTATCTGGATTTCGGTTTAAATTACCAATTATTTCTTTTATTTCCTCTTCGGTTAAAATGTTTATTCGTTTTGTCATGATTTTAATTCCTATTGTCACCGATTTTCTTCGCGAGGCGGCTGCGTCCCCTCACCGTGACAATAGGGCCCTGTAGTGTCGATGCTTAGTGATGAGGCCACCGACTTAGCCAACTT